GCATGCGCCTCATTGCATTAGTGGAAACCAAGACTGTACTCCGGGCAGGCCTGGTTGTAGTTAGATATGTTTGAGTCGCGTCAGGGACAATTTTAGCATTTTAGCTAACCTTAACCCTAATCATTTTCCTAACCTTAACCTAATTATCCTAACCTGTCACGTTAATTCTCCTAACCTGCTACAAAAAGTCACTTCTGCTAGTCAAAACCGGCAGACCTGCCTTGAGAACAGTCTTGCTTTCCACCAATGTGATACATTAGTGGGTGTAATAACAAGCCATAAAATAACGCAATGTATGTCACAACAGGTGTAAATATATGGGTCATGACAGTGTTATGACTATATTGTGACAGGTTATGACAAGTTATGTCAGCTGTTATGACATATTATGGGTGTCAAGCAAAGTGTTACAGAGAACTCACTATACTGTACATATTATACATATATTATACCAAAGTTCACAAAGTTACAGTTCACATAACACCTCGTCCTCCCATAGGTGAGGTGTCAGAGTTGTTGGCCAGGATGACCCGGGGGTGGCTGTGGGCCCCCCTGGCAACAGTGACAGTGAGGAGGAGGAGGAGGAGGACAGATCGGGACAGGGGCCAGCGGTGGGACCCCCCAGATCCAGACAGGACCCCCTGGGGCACAGTGACAATGGCTACAGGTCCTCTCCAACCTCCTCCTCTGTCCCTGCCTCACAGCCCCATCCAGAGACAGCCAGGTCTAGTAGTTCTTAGTTAACATAATAGTTATATGGTATAACATAACATAGGAGTAGTTAGTTAGTTAGTAAGTGAGCTAGTTAGTTAAATAGTTAGGCATGTAGTTAGTGTACTCTAGTTGTTGGTTTCGTCTAACTGGTTGGTTTACTCCTATCAGAACCCTGTCAGCTCAGAGGAGGACCTGGATGTGACAGTGGAGGTGTGCAGGGCTGCTGCCAGCAGGACCGCAGCAGAGGAGCAGACGCTGGAGACCAAACACAGGAGTAAGATGGCTGTGTGTGTGATTTGACACTCAATTAACAAAGATTTGGAGCAGTATTTCAATTCATAAACCATCATATTCACTGCTGGGTCATTCAGGCAGTACTAAATGAGGACAGATTTACTGATGAAGTGTTCATTTCCCCAGAGTGTCAGCCTGTACAGTAGGAGTCAGAGGAGATTGATATAAACCCCACTGTCAGTCAGGACACCCCCTTTCCACTGACCAGGTAGGAGCAGCACCGACACACTGACGCTGAGGTTCCATGGTAAAATCAACTGTACAATATTATGTGTGTTGTGAATAGAAGTTTTAGTGCAGATGAATGCTTAAACTTTGTAAATCCCCCAATGTTGAGACTGGGAATGTTGTTTAGGAGCTCTGGGAAGGGTGTGGCTGTCAGAGAGTAGATTGAGGTGTTCTGCAGTGTGATGTAATCATCAAGCACCAACAACTCATCCTTTGGGAGTACGTCCACCAACAATATCATTTCCAGTGTGCCACAGAGTATTTCAGGCACAGATCTACTCTCTGAGACACAGACCTACACACTCTGTAGATTTTCTTAGACATCTCAATGTACAATGTGTCATGGTCTTCATCAATTCATGTGTGTATGTGTGTGTGTTTATACAGCGGTGTACCTGACATGGCTGATGTCTCCAGCATCACATGCTGGCCCGCCTGCACCAGGAGTGGGTTGCCAGGAGAGACTGCACCCCAGCCCTCTGAACAGACAACCTCCGCCCTGCAACAGCACCCCACTCCGCCCAGGTACCAACCAACGCCACCTAGCTACCAGAGCTTTACTGGAGCTTCAGTTGTATAAACCCCCCAGTTGCACCGTGAAATGAAGCTTAGGAGTAGTCACTTGGTACCAGTCAGCTTACACTGTGCATGTTTAACATCAGGAGCGCTACTTTTAAACCTCTATGTTTACAAGTTGAATTGCAGCAAGGTGTCACGTCACTGGTATACTTGTTTTGGTTTGGTGTAGCGACTGCGCCCAACTACAGAGCCATGGGGGTCACTGGGGAGCCCATCCCCCCTCTTCCCAGCCTGCTGGACACCTCCCCTTGGGGCAGCACCCGCTTCCTGCCTCCCCACACCGAGAGCTTCGTCACAGCCAGCCTGGGAGCCAGCAGCATGGTCAGAATAGAGTCAGCACTCTCCCAGTCAGAACCATGTTTCAATACATTCTTCAAACCTGTCCAAATATATAGTACGCCAATGGCCATCAACCCTGGTCCTGGAGAGGCACAGGATGTAAAGTTTAACTCAATAGTTTCTTACCTTTTATCAACGTAACTGAAATGTTGTGATGTATTTTGGCTGCTCTGTCTGCAGACGGACCCCCCCAGCGTGTACAGTGTGCTGCAGTCGCCCGTGATAAGAGACTCCTCCACCCACGGGCGTCCCAGAGTTCACCACGGCCAGTTCTGGAGAGAGAGACCACAGGGACCAGCCAGGAGGGGGTGGGCTCTATCTACAACATACCCACCACTAGCCAAGAAAGTGAGGAGGAGGAGGTTGATAGGGAGGAGGAAGGACAGGGGGGAGAAGAGAGATAGTTTTGAAGAACATGGAGTGTCTCGAAGAGAGAGCGGGATGTCGCTGACTGCAGACATGAAAGAAGAGATAGAGGAAGCGGAGTTGGAAGGGTCCGATCAGGGTAGCTGTGATGTGGATGCGGACCTGATGCGTGAAGAGCCTCTGGTTGCTAACTCCTCTGTTCTAGGAGGTGAGGTGTTAGTTGTCTCCAAACATGGTTCTGGAGGAGAGGCGGTACAGGCTTTTATAGAATCCCTATCCATGTTAACTCACCTGATTCAATTAAGCAAGGTGTTGTTGAGAAGTTGAATGTTATTTTCAGTAACATTCAGAAACTGAATTTCAACTAACAACTGACTTGCATACACACACGTGCACACACACACGGACACACATACACACATGTAAATAGTGCCATACATGCACTCAAACGCATACAGTCGGCCTTGCTGTTTAGATTTTTGTTTTTTGCATTGTTGTTTTCTGTTGTTTTTCTCTTTTTGTTAGTTGTTGTTGACTGTGTGGGGGGTCTCGGATGGTTGAGGGGCAGCTCTCGGGAACTGTTGGGGGATCTTGGATGGTTGGTCGCCTGGCAGTTGGGAGCTTGGGCTGGTGGCCGATAGGTCACTGGTCTGGCTCCCCGATTTGACTTGGTGGGAGATCTGTTCGACGTGTCCCTGGGCGGGGTGCTTGACCCTAGTTGCTCCTGTGGGTCGCTCTGGATGACTGAATGTAATGTAAATGTTGAACGGCTTAACAGCAGGTAGATTGTATGTTTTAATATTCAAAATATATATATTTTTTAAATGACTTGATATTACTATTAGATCAGTATGGCAACCCCAGACCAGTATAATATGTATGTATGTTTGGTGGTAGACTGTGTTTAGTTATAAACATGTCTCTGCAGAATATGAGCTTGTGTCAGAGGCGGAGGAGGGGTTTGATGAGGAAGAGTTGCCTGACGAAGAGGACACAGACCATGAGGATAAAGAGGTGATTAATGATGAAGAGCTACCAGGCGAAAATAATGTGACATCAAGAGCCCAACATGGCAGAACACACAGTGAAGGTACCTACACTGCATTATGCCCACATTATAAGAAGAAACAAAACTCTCTCTACAAGTAGCAAACTAGAAAAGGACGTTTCAGTATAAACTTTGTGTGCTTGCTAACTGGCTGGAATTCTTATTGTTAATGGCAGTGGAAGAACTATACATAGTGAGATAGTTAAACCTTCAGAAAGTATTACATTAACATTTACATATTCACACCTCTTTACTTTTTCCACATTTTGTTGTATTACAGCCTGAATTTTAAATGGATTAAATTGAGATTTGTGTCACTGGCCTACACATAATACCCCATAATGTCAAAGTGGAATTATTTTTTAAAACATTTTTACAAATTAATTAAAAATTAAAAGCTGAAATGTCTTCAGTCAATAAGTATCCTTTGTTATGGCAAGTCTAAATACTTTGAGTAAAAATGTGCTTAACAAGTCACATAATAAGTTGCATGGACTCACTGTGCAATAAGCGTTTAACATAACATTTTGAATAACTACCCTATCTGGATAAGAGCGTCTGCTAAATGACTAAAATGTATCTCTGTACCCCACACATACAATTACACTACATGACCAAAAGTATGTGGACACCTGCTTATCGAACATCTCATTCCAAAATCACAGGCATTAAAAACCCAGATTCGTCCATTGGACTGCCAGATGGTGAAGCGTGATTCATCACTCCAGAGAACGCGTTTCCACTGCTCCAGAGTCCAATGGCGGCGAGCTTTACACCACTCCAGCCGACGCTTGGCATGGTGATCTTAGGCTTGTGTGCGGCTGCTCGGCATTGGAAAACCATTTCATGAAGCTCCCGACGAACAGTTCTTGTGCCGACGTTGCTTCCAGAGGCAGTTTGGAACTCAGTAGTGAGTGTTTAAACCGAGGACAGACGATTTTTATGCGCTACACGCTTCAGCGGTCCCGTTCTGTGAGCTTGTATTTGCATTTGTATTTATTAAGGATCCCCATTAGCTGCTGCCAAGGCTGCAGCTACTCTTCCTGGGGTCCAGCAACATTAAGGCAGTTATATACAATGAAATGTGTTCCCTCAGGCCACTATTCTACTATCACATACAGTACATTTGGAAAGTATTCACACCCCTTGACTTTTTCCACATTTGGTTACGTTACAGCCTTATTCTAAAATTGATTACATTGTTTTTTCCCTCATCAATCTACACACAATAACCCATAATGACAAAGTAAAAACAGTTTAGACATTTTCGCAAATGTATTAAAAATAAAAAACTGAAAAATCACAATTACATAAGTATTCAGACCCTTTTACTCAGTACTTTATTGAAGCACCTGTGACAGCGATTACAGCCTTGAGTCTTCTTTAGTATGACGCTACACCTGTATTTGGGGATTTTATCCCATTCTTCTCTGCAGATCCTCTCAAGCTCTGTCACTACAATTCACTCACCTGTTTGAAAATTGATCTTTTTGGTGGTAAAAAGTATTGCCTTTAAGCACATGAACACGTGGCATGATAATACATGTATTCTTTGGTGCTGGAATTTTGATAACGTATGCATTTTATCTTGCGAGTTCTTTCGAAACATTAGAAATATTATATTTTAAATTCTCATTATGTATTGTTGAAGTCATTAATTTATCTTAAGTGTCTATGACTGGAGTTCTGTGTTCCTGTTAAGCTGTTCAAGGGGCATTGGTGTGTATTCAGTGCTCGTCAAAGCTTAGTTAAATTATCATTACTGTTATTAATATAGTTAATAAAATGTACCATCATTACTGTTAATGTATTCATGTGTTATCTATTGTAATTTCACCCTGCCCTAGTGCATTACCCATAGATCAGATTTGACCAATACCAAAACAAACTTAAATCAACCAATGTAATGTAATGGTTTGTTTGCATCTGCATTTTAAGCTTTTATGGATTCATTTTATGTAATTGTTTTACATATTTGGTAGAAAGAGACTTTAAACTGTACGTTGAGATGCTAATACATGTTTGCACTCCTTGTTAAATACATTTTTGATTGAGTGTATCCCTGGGCAGAAGGAATATTTCAATTTAATGAAGGATCATAAAATACATTGACACTCGATACAAGCTTTACAGTTAAGTCAGTGGTACGATTGATACATTAGCCATAAAACCCTACCTACTTATCCAACATCAAACTCTTTACAAAAATAGTGCACCTTAATTTACAATACGGCCCAACCACCTTCCACTTACAGCACCCTAGAAACATGTGGTGACTTGATTCCATCTGGAATTCTTGCTTCCGGTGTGTCAATTCCTTCTAAAATAAGATTATTTGGTGTCATAAAAAATGTTTTATCTAGCAAATGAAATCTAACCACAGCATATGTAGGAATGAGGATTCAACTGAAAACCCTTCAATGAGGCTAATATGCCTAGCAAAGGGACAAGGAGAGATGGGCAGAATCAGTCACTCATACAGTCATCTCATACTCAGTGCTGTGGGGTCTAATATTTTAGTCTCGGTTCCTCCGGTTCCTCAGTCTCATATTAGCAGACGAACATGCCCTTTCTTGTCCAGCTCAATGCGAGAGAGGTGCTGCAACGTCTTCAGCTTGGCGTCGCTAACGTTCATGTTCATCTGCTTCATCTTCTGCAAACTGAGTGCTCCACTGGGAGAAAGAGTGGCAAAGTTAGAACTTGCGTGAACTTCCACAAAATGCCTACAACTTACTAAACATTCATATGACATGGGGACTGACTCTGGTCCAGCAGTTAACTGTTCAGCATAAAAACAATTAGGACATTCCTGCTGCTGGTTTTGCCTTGACAACTGGGAGTTTCTGTGTAAAGGTATATGCATCTCAGCATGAACGTGACTCGTCTGACCTGTTTTTTCTGAAGGAGAAGTACTCATGCAGCTGCTTGTAGAAGGCATTGAGGTTGGCCAGCTTGACGTTGGAGCGCACGCTGCACGGCACGGCCTCCAGTGTGGCTTCACTCAGCTCCTCAAACTCGCCTTCCCTCGAGGCTGTGGACAGAGAGCGCTCACATTGGCTTCAGTCGCCATATTCCTGTCTGTAGAGTCATGAGCCCTTTTTGGGTTTCACATGGATTCCTTGAAGAGGAATGTTTTGTGTCATTGTTGGCTGTTAAAGTATCAATATAAATGCTCCAATTCAGCTATGTAGATAATATGTTGGTTACAAATGACTTCAATAGGGGTTTGTGTCTATAAGATATATGCAGAGGGGAGACTTGGGTTTAACCATTACTTACACTGAGGCTGCTCTTGGGCTGGAGGCTCCGTAGACATTGGTACCTGTTAACAGACAAACATTGGCATATTACAGTTATATTACAATATATTGTAATACTGGCATATTACAAGACGACCATAACATTCCACTGAAGGAAAGAGTTGAGAAATCCTGAGCAGTAAAGCTTTATATACAGTGGGGGAAAAAAGTATTTAGTCAGCCACCAATTGTGCAAGTTCTCCCACTTAAAAAGATGAGGCCTGTAATTTTCATCATAGGTACACACGTCAACTATGACAGACAAATTGAGAAAAAAAAAATCCAGAAAATCACATTGTAGGATTTTAAATTAATTTATTTGCAAATTATGGTGGAAAATAAGTATTTGGTCACCTACAAACAAGCAAGATTTCTGGCTCTCACAGACCTGTAACAACTTATTTAAGAGGCTCCTCTGTCCTCCACTCGTTACCTGTATTAATGGCACCTGTTTGAACTTGTTATCAGTATAAAAAAGACACCTGTCCACAACCTCAAACAGTCACACTTCAAACTCCACTATGGCCAAGACCAAAGAGCTGTCAAAGGACACCATAAACAAAATTGTAGACTTGCACCAGGCTGGGAAGACTGAATCTGCAATAGGTAAGCAGCTTGGTTTGAAGAAATCAACTGTGGGAGCAATTATTAGGAAATGGAAGACATACAAGACCACTGATAATCTCCCTCGATCTGGGGCTCCACGCAAGATCTCACCCCGTGGGGTCAAAATGATCACAAGAACGGTGAGCAAAAATCCCAGAACCACACGGGGGGACCTAGTGAATGACCTGCAGAGAGCTGGGACCAAAGTAACAAAGCCTACCATCAGTAACACACTACGCCGCCAGGGACTCAAATCCTGCAGTGAAAGACGTGTCCCCCTGCTTAAGCCAGTACATGTCCAGGCCCGTCTGAAGTTTGCTAGAGTGTATTTGGATGATCCAGAAGAGGATTGGGAGAATGTCATATGGTCAGATGAAACCAAAATATAACTTTTTGGTAAAAACTCAACTCGTCGTGTTTGGAGGACAAAGAATGCTGAGTTGCATCCAAAGAACACCATACCTACTGTGAAGCATGGGGGTGGAAACATCATGCTTTGGGGCTGTTTTTCTGCAAAGGGACCAGGACGACTGATCTGTGCAAAGGAAAGAATGAATGGGGCCATGTATCGTGAGATTTTGAGTGAAAACCTCCTTCCATCAGCAAGGGCATTGAAGATGAAACGTGGCTGGGTCTTTCAGCATGACAATGATCCCAAACACACCGCCCGGGCAACGAAGGAGTGGCTTCGTAAGAAGCATTTCAAGGTCCTGGAGTGGCCTAGCCAGTCTCCAGATCTCAACCCCATAGAAAGTCTTTGGAGGGAGTTGAAAGTCTGTGTTGCCCAGCGACAGCCCCAAAACATCACTGATCTAGAGGAGATCTGCATGGAGGAATGGGCCAAAATACCAGCAACAGTGTGTGAAAACCTTGTGAAGACTTACAGAAAACGTTTGACCTGTGTCATTGCCAACAAAGGGTATATAACAAAGTATTGAGAAACTTTTGTTATTGACCAAATACTTATTTTCCACCATAATTTGCAAATAAATTCATTAAAGATCCTACAATGTGATTTTCTGGACTTTTTTCCTCATTTTGTCTGTCATAGTTGACGTGTACCTATTATGAAAATTACAGGCCTCCCTCATCTTTTTAAGTGGGAGAACTTGCACAATTGGTGGCTGACTAAATACTTTTTTCCCCCACTGTATTTCTCTGAATAGCATGGGCCGTAAAATTGGACAATCAAAAGTAGTGCCCATACAATGTCAGTGTTACACAGAATGACGTCTGTGAAATATCGTTTCGCCACACGCTCTGCTCCTGTACGCAACGCACCTTAGCTCCAGCAAATTGACTTACCTCCATTGTGTTTTGATTGACTGATAAACCAAGGAACTTTGCAGACTCCTGCTCCGTCTCAGTCAGTGTTGGAACCTACAAAACAGTATTAGTACAAATATAAATTCTGAATTGCACATGATTTAACCACCCTTTAACATTGAAAAGGGTTGGTTGACCTTGTCGGATGTACGTAGAGGGAATAGTCTACCTCTACGTCAGCAGTCTGCTGTAACTGTTGCACTAGCTGCACAGTGGTGTCGAGGTGCACTCGTATGGAGTCCATTGATTGCTTCTGCTCGGCTGCGATCTCCTGCACTTGTGTACACAGGGCCGCATGCCTCGCCTTGATGGCTGACAGGTTCTCCAGTAGCTTCACAGGGTTTTCCTGTGGTCACGAGCACAACGTGAGTCAGATATTGATTTAACAGAATGTTGGCTACACTGTCTTCATGGCAGAAGTTCAGAGATTTATTAAGATACTGTAGCATTGCCTTTTGTGGATGGAGTGGAAAAGTGTTGGGTGACTTGTCTGTTGGTCTGTTCTGAGGACATGTTTTGTAACTAAGTACTGTGGTGTTCATGTATTCACCTCTGCTGCACTGTTCTCTGGAGTATTAGTCAGGAAGTCCAGTCTCAACCGCTTCTCCATGTACTCCATGTCAGCCTCTGCCTTCTGGAACTGAAAGGACAGTTGGTTTAGTGTACTACAAGCCTTACACAATCATTATTACACACAGAAAATCATTGCGTGTACAGATCTGTCATAACTATGAACATGAACAAAATGAGCGAAAGGATCAGTCACATCTTTTGAATACTTCGGCCACAAAACTGTTGCCTCCCGAAAGGTGCATGAAATAGTATTGAGACGCACAGTGCCTTCTATGAGGCTTTAACACAAACACTGAAACCCTATAAGCAACATTGCACTACTCAAAGTGGACAGCAGAGACAATCCTGATAAGAGTTTCAGGACTTGGGAGCAATCGAATGCTTGTTATTTTGTCAAAATGGAGTGATTAAAAATAATAATAATCAGGGTTGAGTTCAGTAGGCACGTAACAGAAAACATATTCAGAAGGTACGAAAGAGAAAACATTTAAATACAAATAAGTGTTTATTTTTGGAAGTTTAGGTAGATCCTCCTCCTAATAAGAAATGGAAGCTGACTGATGGGGACAAAAGTTCCAGACTTGCTTTGATAGATTGCAGGTGAGGGAATGACGTGAAGAGTAAGATTATTGCTCATTTGGACTCGGCCTGAATTAATAAGACTATTGATCTTCATTGCAGATTTTTTTATGAAATTACACAAACATTTTGATAAAACAACCCACCCCCCCACATCCCGCCAATGCCTATTCTAGAGTTCTAATTCCTAATTATATGCACAGCCGTTCCTTGGGGTGCACTGTTATACAGCACATACCATAGTGTTTCAGTCAACCCTAGAGTGCCAATAATTATGCACTTGGGGCCCGATTCGTTTTGAGTTAAGCACTTCTCAGTAGTCGGTATTCAGACTTACCTTATGCAGGTGCGCAATGGGCTTTGCAGGTGTGACTCCCTTGCGCGCACTGAATACATTTAATTCAACGGCTGAAAACTCTCCCACTTGCTGGCCAACAGTTTTCATTCAAATGGGTTTTCAGTACATTTATCTAAAGCCATCCTTTTAAATACGATGTACCTTTAATTTGAATTTGACAGACTCACTAGAATATACGTGGAGAACGGGTTCAGAATAGGGATCAATGAAAGAAAGCCATCTAAATACACACATATTAGTTTCCTTTCAGCACCAATTGGTAGATTTAAAAATACTCTGATCTTGTAGATTATTTAGGGTTGGGAAAGTATTCATGAATCATACATAAAACACGGTTGGAAAGCCTTTACGCACAAAATATATTGGTGAATCAAAAATAGTGGTTTGATTCACCGTGAACGTTACCATATTCAAATTGTTCAATTCATGAAATATAGGAAAGGGAGAAAAGTGTACAATAGCAGATTGATCTCCACCCCAAACGAATAACTGGCTGACATGAGTTTTCCCATGCGTTCAAGGTCAGAATACGTGTAAAGAGAAAAGGGAATAAAGTTCCATTTAAGCGATTAACTCGGGTCTGAATTCCCCCCTTGGTGAGGAGTGTGGCAGCTTTCGCCACATTGTCATACATGTTTTGCGGATTCTTTTGTCCAAAAGTGGTCTTTGCTGCTTTCAGATGCTTTGACAATACTATTGCACTGCTAGCTGTCCAATACAGTAGTGCAATGAAGTCAGAGCACCTGCAAACAGCTTTGTTGAGCAAAGGTTCACAGCTACACCTTGCAAAACCTCCTTGGGAATAATCCCTGGCCAATGCCCTTTTAACATTGCACTGCTTTCATTAGAGGGTCACCAGTAGTACAATATAAAAGGGGCACTGGACAGACAGACAACATAATGGATTCCTCTTTATTAATAATATATAATATAATATGCCATTTAGCAGATGCTTTTATCCAAAGCGACTTACAGTCATGTATGCATACATTTCTACGTATGGGTGGTCCCAGGGATCGAACCCACTACCCTGGCGTTACAAGCACCATGCTCTACCAATTGGAGCTACAGAGGACCACGTTATTCTGTGTTATCAGTCCTGAAATAAAAATGGAGACATCCAACCTCCTGTCAAACTGGAGAAATAATTAACTACATGACAGAAACTTTAATTGGATTGGCTGGGCCAGATCAAGACAAAATATTAATGGGTGAATCAAATAAATAATCTAAAACTCAAGTAAAACCAGTTTTGAAATCCAGTGATTGTCAGCAGAGACAAGCAAGTGAAGCTACATGACATTGGGGAGCTGAATAGATTGCGAATGCATCATATTTGAATAGTCTAGTTACTACCCACAAACTGGTTGAATCAACATAATTTGTCAACATATTGTGACGTGGAATCTAAGTGGAAAATGCATTTGGTTTAGAAAAAAGTCATCAACTGTTTTGAGGGTCGAATTTCAACCACAGGATTATGTCATCATTGTAACGAATTTTCCACATAGACAAACCATGTATAAAACGTTTAATTTGTACCTTTGAAACAACGTCAGTTCTTCAATGTTAAATCCACTATCAGAAAAAAATGGACACTACCCACATTTTTTTATGCAAGTAAAGTCATTCCATATTTTAAAAAAATCACAACAGCTATGATGGAAATAGGAAGTTTCGGTACAATTTTATAAATGCTGACAGATCACTTGTTTTTTTTCGACATGGTGGGATCGTTTTGTGAGCGGTTGGCTAGAGTGCAACTGCCAAGACCAAAGTAGGCACAATTTCTATTTAACACAAATGTTTTTGTGACAAAACTATCGGTAGAGTTGAAAATGTGATATAAACACATTGAACTTTAGATTTTTATTCTGTACATGAAAACTTTAAATTTAGTGTGCACTACATCATCACGCACACATTTTTATCTGCAACAAGTCAGTTAGGCAGAAACACCACTGGTGGGAAAATGCGTATATATTCTTAATGCGTATTTTAGAATATTCGCATGAAAGACCTATTTTTGCTTTGTCATTATGGGGTATTGTGTGTTGATTATTGAGGGGGGAAAAACTATCAATTTTAGAATAAGGCTGTACGTAACATGTGGAAAAAGTCAAGGGGTCTGAATATTTTCCGAATGCATTGTAGGCCTAGGGTTTCAAACTTTGGTTGATTTCAAATGTAATCTTCAAGTTAATCATTAATATGTTTGATTCAAATAATCTCAACCAAAAATAAAGTTAAAGAACACTGTTTTCCACAAGCACATGGAGTAGCCAGCCAAATAGAAAAAGTAGCCAGACCCCCAGGTTAAGAATGTTTTGCTGAACAAGCTCTATTTTGGTGGCATCTGGCACATTCTAATGCCTTGATTCCATCCGAAATACACAGCAAAATTATAGAATACTTTATGGAGTTTACCTCCCAAATTGTAAAAATGTGTTGTAGTATTGTGTTTAAAATTTAAATGACTGAAAATGTACAAATTCAGTGTATTATTCGTCTGCACAGATGGTTGTCCTTCTGGAAGGTTCTCCCATCTCCACAGAGGAACTCTGGAGCTCTGTCAGAGTGACCACATCCCTGACCAAGGCCCTTCTCCCCTGATTGCTGTTTGGCCAGCTCTAGGAAGAGTCTGGGTGGTTCCAAACTTCTTCCATTTAAGAATGATGGAGGCCACTGTGTTCTTGGGGACCTTCAATGCTGCAGACATTTTTTGGTACCCTTCCCAGATCTGTGCCGACACAATCCTGTCTCGAAGCTCTACGGACAATTCCTTCGACCTCATGGCTTGGTTTTTGCTCTGACATGCACGGTCAACTGTGGGACCTTATTTAGACAGGTGTGTGCCTTTCCAAATCATGTCCAATCAATTGAATTTACCACAGGTGGACTCCAATCAAGTTGTAGAAACATCTCAAGGATGATCAATGGAAACAGGATGGACTTGAGCTCAATTTCTAGTCTCAAAGCAAAGGCTGAATACTTATGTAAATGAGGTAAGGCTCAGTGGGGGGAAATCGGGGATGCCCTGCTTTGCGATCTATTGCCTAGGACAAAAACAGCCAGGGTTTCATTACATAATCTATAGGCACAATACTTTTTAGTGCACATTTAGGCCTAATTAAATTGACACATTTGTTCAACTTCAATTCACTGGCACAATGTAGAGTAGTTTAGCCATACTCATTGATAGCCTAATCTATACTTTAATATACTTGTGGTGAATTTACGAGGCATTGCGAGATACAGATTATCACGATATAGGCCTAGCCTATGCGCGCAGTTCCAACTGTCTGCCTTCCCCTCCTCTCTCCCTTGCTGGGTCGCCTGCTCTTTCTCTTCGCTATAAAAGATGCGAGTGTGTGTTTACGGTAGCCTACTCATTGATAGCCCCTACTTACTTTAGTGAACTTGCGAGACATTGACTGTCCGACTGTCTGCCTGGTGGCCGACTTGCCTACCTATGTCTGGCTGTGCCCCTCCCCTTTCCCTCGCTAACTCGCTCTTCTTTAATGTAAAAGACGCGAGAGTGTGTTCTCGGAAGTAGCTTACGGCAACTACTCAGTATCTTTCATTCCAAAAATACTGAATATTAAGAGTCGATTCCCAGTGGAATCGAATCTTGACACGACTAAGTCTCTATAAGCCAGAATGTTGAATAGAATGACATTTGAGGTTACCTTACCTGTTGTACATGCTGTTGGTCCTTTTGGCGGTAGGAGGTGTAGATAGGGTCTTCACAGGAAAGTGTTGTTTACCCGACCTTCTGAGGCACCGGTAGGTTGTCGCTTGTATTTTCAATCTTGACTCATTGCACGTGATGCACAATATGTAACCATAGTCGAATGTAACCGAAAGTAGTCCACCAAAGGACGTTTCCTCGCAATCAGCTGGAAGTGTTTGCCATATTGTGCAAGTGTTTGTCACTGTGCGAATTGCATCAGTATTGAAAATAAAAACCGGAAGTACAAACCGATATACAGATCAGCGTACTGAAAGTCAATTTAATAACACTTAGTGCTGAGCGATTAGTTCTTTTTGAAGTCTGTTCGGTTTGATTCTTTAAAAAATAAATCACAGTTTTCGATTTTGATTATTTGGGTTGAATGCTGTAACACAGAATAAAGCAATTAATAAAAGTCCCATGATGGTAGTGACTGCCCATTACTGCTTATCACTTATTAACCATATTTTATTCACATTACTTTAATAAAATATTTCAGTTGTGTATATTATATTTGTTTTATTTGATGGCTTTATTATTTCATTCCAAGTCACCATCTCATCTCTATTTTGTAGTTCTTCAAAGTAAATCAGGTCTACTTTTATGACTTTGAATACTAACTATCAATCACTTAGATCGTGTATTTTCAGGTAGAGATACCTGGCGAAGCAATAGCTGCTCTCTATATCCCCTCATGATCACGCATTCGTCTCTCTTTCATAGCAGGCATAAAAGAAAAACAGACCGGACAAGTAGATGCGCAATGGATTATGGTCAGTAACCATGTTTCCATACGAATGAAGTCATACCGTATTTTTTTTTAAACACGACAGTTGTGATGGAGACAGGAAGTTTCGGTACAATTTTATAAAATGCTAACAGATCATTTGTTCATTCGACATGGTGGGATCTTTGTGTCGGTAAAATGTATTATGCGAGAAATGGCGGTTTCCTTTATGCGCAAATACTGATATAATAACCATCATATCGAAGCAAACCTGGAGTCATGCGATTATATGGTGTCTGGTCCTCCCACTACAACTCAGGGAAACTATGCATTTTATTAGGCTACAGATTAAGTAAATTTTTATGAACTTCACAGGGTGTTGAAAGTGCACACTATGAAGTTGATGCTCCTTTCCAATAAATATCAAGGGTCTTATTCTGGTGACATGATGAATGATACTCGCTCTTATCCATAACAATCACATAATGTAGACTTCCCTACTCGCACTGTATCTGCGAGCTGTTGGCTAGAGCGCATGTGCCAAGACCAGGGTAGGCACATTTTCTATTTAACACAGTTTCTGATAACTCTATCACAACACTGGAGGGAAAATGTGCATATTTTCTTTATGCAGACTTTAGAATACTCGCATGAAAATCTGTAGCCAGTTGGATGGAAACCTAGCTATTATAGTTAATTACCACATTTTTTTGTACTAAACTATGTAGAATATTGGCCTGTTGAAAACTACAACTCTCTACTACATTGCACAGTTCAGGCTGGATCTGATTTATCTCTAGATAAACGGTTTAATAATGTGCGCATTAAGCTCACAGAAAAAAACTACCAAAATGGAATTCAAATAATTGAACCGAAAATAACAGAAATGTTGGTTAATCGCTCAGCACTAATAACACTACTCTGTGGATATTGTCTCAATTTTCTGTCAGCGGATATTGTCTCAATTTTCTAGCAGCAGAAGGACAAACCGCACAGACAACCGGTAGAGCAAGTTTAAATGTACTTTTATTAAACATTCTGGCTTGTATGGAACATTTACACAATTCTGCACATAAATGTCTCAGGACCTATATACACCAATTAATTGTGTATTACAGCCCGATTAATAAGACTAAGTGATACCACATTGGGATTCAACAAACTTATTTTGAGTGGGTGAATAAAAGGTTGAAATCTCATTGTTCAATGTCTCAACCAAATATTACCCAAATGTCCACGTTGAAATGACGTTCCCAATGGGTATCTGGCTAGTTTGTAACAGTTACATACTGTACGTTTGCTAAGCGCTGTGATTGGAACACCAACTCAAATGTTATTATCGCTGATCAGACATTCCAAACTCTTTCCTTTATCTCTCGATTGGCTAACAACGAATTTGTACAACTTCGATATGATCCCGTGAAAACTCGCTTTTAAACAAGAACGACCACGAGCGAGCGCGGGGACACGGACTAATTAACGTCCTCTTTGCAGGCGCAGTCTCTCTTACTCGCTGTCCTCAATGTGAAACGTGTGGCAAACAAGCTATCGAGATAGCTAGCTACCTAAATAAACACTGAACATGGGCAACGTGACACAAGCGATTATTTTTAGCCTTTTGGTTTTCACAGAAAACACTTAGCTAGCATGGTATGTTTTCGTGTTTCTTTTCCTGGAAATAATTATTTCCTACGAAAACGGCAGATTTTTTTTATTTAGATCCTCTCACTTAGCTAACGTTGCATTCCTATTTTTGACGCACGGGCCATTTGTTCAAATAGCTAATGGACCACAGAAAAACCGCATCGTATCTAAAGACTAGGAACGTAGGTTTCCTTTCGCTGGTTTAGAAATTAATGTGGTTTGTAAAAGGCATCTTACCATCGTCTCCAGTTTATCAACCGCTAGCTCCATGTTGAGTAGTGTACGGGCTGTCTTCTTCTTCTATGGTATTATGGCGGTCTGCAAACAAGCAATAGAAGTACATGCCGCCACCTACTGTACGGGTGGTAAACTATAGCAAACATATCCATTGTAGGAAAAACCGACATTATACAAAATACAAAACCAGACACATAAAAAAAAAAAAACATCCCACTCCTTCAGTCACATTCCAATTCAAGTCACACCCCTACACAGGCTCAGGGGCCTGTGAGGGCGGAACATCCTTTGACAGGATTTCTTGCAATGGCTCTGCTGTAAACTCAGAATCCCAAAAAGCGTTCTGCTGCACTCACAATCATTAAAATTTTCTCTGATTTCTTCTTTGTCTGTGCTGTGCAGTTCATGACCATTGCAATAAATGCTATAACTGTAATATATCAGGATGTTACCTGGAAACCCAACGTTGTATTGCATTGAATTCTATGTCTGGCAGAAATTAGTGTTTGAATCAGGAAAGTTTCCTCTCACGACCTCTACAAGCCAAAATTATATTTTAACGTACTTTACCGGTTGTCTGTGCGGTTGGTCCTTTTGGCGGTAGGAATGTGAGACCATATATTCACAGGACAGTATAATTACATCAGCCTTTCAAAGCACTGGTAGTGCGTTCATTTTTCTATCACCTAAAGCACGCTCACAATATAAAAATACATGCACTAGATGCACGCTTACTTGCTGAGCTCATGCACGTGTTTACACGGTTTTGCACATGCTTCAGATGATAGAAATCTGAATGCACTACCAGCGCTTTGAAAAGTTAGTTTAATTATACTTTTCTGTGGATACAGTAGGCCAGGGTTCTTCAATTCCGGTCCTGGAGGGCTGAAACACCTCTGTTTTTCATCCTCTCCTTCTAATCAGGGGCTAATTCAGACCTGGGACACCAGGTGAGTGCAATTAACTACCAGGTAGAAATAAAAAACAGAAGTGTTTCGGCCCTCCAGGACCGGAATTGAAGAACCCTGCAGTAGGCCTATATTGTCACAACATTTCTACCGCCAAAAGGACCAACCGCACAGACAACCGGTAAAGTACGTTAAAATATAATTGTATCCAACATTCTGGCTTGTAGAGGTCGTGAAAGGAAACTTTCCTGATTCAAACGCTCATTTCTGCCTGACATAGTATTCAATGCAATTCAATGTCGGGTTTCCAGGCAAATCAGGATCCCTTGATTGCCGAGAAACATTCACTGGTGCTGTCTCAATTACCATTGCGTTTTCAACGCCACTTGCTCCTTCTACTCTTCTCACTGCCTCCAGATAGGAGACATGATGGACAGCCCTTATTCTCTCCACCTCTGTCTCCTTCAACCTAACAGGGCAATCCGGGGACTCAGGTGCATGTTGGCCAACACAGTTGCTGCATATAACCTCAGCTGGCATAGGATAGGGGAGGGAATGGCCGGCAGGGATGTAGCTCAGCTAGTAGAGCATGGTGTTTGCAACGCCAGGGTTGTGGGTTTGATTCCCACGGGGGGCCAGTATGAAAAGAAATAAAAAATAATGTATGCACTCACTAACTGTAAGTCGCTCTGGATAAGAGTGTCTGCTAAATGACTAAAATGTAAATGTAATATTCTTCCCGTCTGCATACACTTGATACATGCACAAATCTTTTGCATTTATAACACTGGAGGGTCTTGTCCACAAATGCTCTTAGGGATGGATCAACATTTATAGAATGGGTACCTGGAGGAAAATGGTGGGGGGTCATGCTTTTTCAATTTCAGTCAAGGGGAGGGTTTGGTGGGTCGGGTGTGGATGAGAGTACAGAGAGTGAGAATGAGTGGGCTACAGTTGTGAAAAAGAAAGGAACCAAAATAAGTAAAGTTGTGATGGACACTAAGAAATCCCTAGATTCGATTATAGTCGGAGTGAGGGTTTTGGATCAGGAATTCATTCAAAGTCACAAGGAGTATCATGAAGGCGTTGAGTGAGGTGGTGTCGATGAGTCACAAGAGTTGGTCCCGTGTAGCTCAGTTGGTAGAGCATGGTGCTTGCAACACCAGGGTTGTGGGTTCGACTCCCATGGGGGGTCAGTATGAAGAAAAAAAAAATTATGCACTCACTAACTGTAAGTTGCTCTGGATAAGAGCGACTGTAAATGTCTTATTCTGCTTTTTTGTGTGTCCACCGAAAATAAGAAGCGTGCACCTTGTGCTGGGGACAACAAAAGGCCACTCTAAAATGTGCAGTTTTGTCACACAACACAATGCTACAGATGTCTCAAGTTTTGAGGGAGCGTGCAATTGGCATGCTGACTGTAGGAATGTCCACCAGAGCTGTTGCCAGATAATTGAATGTTAATTTCTCTACCATAAGCCACCTCCAACGTCATTTAGAGAATTTGGCAGTACGTCCAACCGGCCTCACAAATACAGACCACGTGTATGGCGTCGTGTGGGCGAGCAGTTTGCTGATGTCAATGTTGTGAACAGAGCGCCCCATGGTGGCGGTGGGGTTATGGTATGGGCAGGAATAAGCTACAGACAATGAACACAATTGCATTTTATCGATGGCAATCTGAATGCACAGAGATATCATGACAAGATCCTGAGGCCTATTGTCGTGCCATTCATCCGCCGCCATCACCTCATGTTTCAGCATGATAATGCACAGCCCCTTGTCGCAAGGATCTGTACACAAATCCTGGAAGCTGAAAATGTCCCAGTTCTTCCATGGCCTGCATACTCACCAGACATGTCACACATGTCAGCAAAATTGGGATGCACTGGATCGACGTGTTCCAGTTTCCACCAATATCCAGCCATTGAAGAGGAGTGGGACGACATTCCACAGGCCACAATCAACAGCCTGATCAACTCTATGCGGAGGAGATGTGTCACGCTGCATGAGGCAAATGGTGGACACACCAGATACTGACTGGTTTTCTGATCCACACCTAACCTTTTTTTAAAGGTGTCTGTGACCAATAGATGCATATCTGTATTACCAGTCATGTGAAATCCATAGATTAGGGCCTAATTTATTTATTTCAAATGACCGATTTCCTTATATGAACTGTAACTCAGTAAAATCTTTAAAATTGTTGCATGTTGCGTTTATATTTTTGTTCAGTATAGATAAGTATTCACACCCCTGAGTCAATACATGTTATAATCACCTTTGGCAGCGATTACAGCTGTGAATCTTTCTGGTTAAGTCTCTAAGAGATTTGCACACCTAGATTGTACAATATTAGCATATTTTTCTTTAAAAAATTCTTCAAGTTCTGTCAAGTTGGTTGTTGGTCATTGCTTGACAGCCATGTTCAAGTCTTGCTATAGATTTTCAAGCCGATTTAAGTCAAAACTAACTAGGTCACTCAGGAACATAAGCAACTCCATGTTATATTTGGCTTTGTATTTTAGGTTATTGTCCTGCTAAAAGGTGAGTTTGTCTCCCAGAGTCGGTTGGAAAGCAGACTGAACCATGTTTTCCTCTAGGACACAGGTGCCAAACTATTTCCACGGAGGGCCGAGTGTCTGTGGGTTTTCGCTCCTCCCTTGTACTTGATTGATGAATTAATTAGTAAGGAACTCCCCACACCTGGTTGTCTAGGGCTTAATTGAAAGGGAAAACCAAAAACCTGGCGACACTAGGCCCTCCACGGAATGAGTTTGACACCCCTGCCTAGTCTTTGCCGATGACAAGCATACCCATAACATAATGCAGCCACTACCATACTTGAAAATAATGAAGAGTGGTACTTAGTGATGTGTTGTTGGATTAGCACCTTTGTATTCAGGACATACAGTTCATTTCTTTGCCAAATTTTTTGCAGTTTTACTTTAGTGCCTTATTGCAAACAGGATGCATGTTTTTGGAATAGTGTATTTTGCATGCTGTGGTAGCTAGCAAAATACACTCAGTGGCCAGTTTACGAAAATGTTTTGCTCCTACAGACAGTGAGTCACGTGGCCGTGGCTTGCTATATAAAGCAGGCAGACAGGCATCAAAGCATTCAGTTACTTTTCGATTGAATGTTAAATTGGGCAAAACGAGTGGCCTAAGTTTTTTTTACATTTTTAGTCATTTAGCAGACGCTCTTATCCAGAGCGACTTACATGAGCAATTAGGGTTAAGTGCCTTGCTCAAGGGCACATCGACAGATTTTTCACCTAGTCGGCTCGGGGATTAGAACCAGCGACCTTTCGGTTACTGGCACAACACTCTTAACCACTAAGCTACCTGCCGCCCCCTAAGTGACTTTGAGCGTGGTATGATCGTCGGTGACAGGCGACCCGGTTCCAGTATCACAGAAACGACCGGCCTCCTGGGCTTTCACGCACGACAGTGGTGCGACAAACAAAAAAAATCCAGTCAGCGGCAGTCCTGTGGGCGAATACAGCTCGTTAATTAGAGGTCGATAGAGAATGGCAAGAATCGTGCACGCTAATAAGCATTCCCCATTCAAAAAATTCAGAACTAAGAACAGATATAGCCCCTGGATCTCCTCAGACTTGACTGCCCTTGACCAGCACAAAAACATCCTGTGGCATACTGCATTAGCATCGAACAGCCCCCGCGATATGCAACTTTTTAGGGAAGTGAGGAACCAATATACACAATCAGTTAGGAAAGCAAAGGCTAGCTTTTTCAAACAGAAATTTGCATCCTGTAGCACTAACTCCAAAACGTTTTTGGAAACTGTAAAGTCCATGGAAAATAAGAGCACCTCCTCCCAACTGCCCACTGCACTGAGGCTAGGAAACACTGTCACCTCCGATAAATCTACAATAATCGAGAATTTCAACAAGCATTTTGCTACGGCTGGCCATGCTTTCAACCTGGCTACCACTACCCCGGCCACCAGCTCTGCACCCTCCGCTGCAACTTGCCCATGCCCCCCCCCCCCCGCTTCTCCTTCATACAAATTCAGACAGCTGATGTTCTGAAAGAGCTAAACAATCTGGACCCCTACAAATCAGATGGGCT